ACCTGTTTAGAACTTTCACACTGGCAAGATTACATACCTGTTTAGAACTTTCCCACTGGCAAGATTACATACCTGTTTAGAACTTTCCCACTGGCAAGATTACCTACCTTTTTAGAACTTTCCCACTGGTAAGATTACCTACCTTTTTAGAACTTTCCCACTGGTAAGATTACATACCTTTTTAGAACTTTCCCACTGGTAAGATTACATACCTTTTTAGAACTTTCCCACTGGTAAGATCACATACCTTTTTAGAACTTTCCCACTGGTAAGATCACATACCTTTTTAGAACTTTCCCACTGGTAAGATTACATACCTTTTTAGAACTTTTACACTGGTAATTTTATGAGCTTCATGGTAAAAGGATGAGTGTATAAAGTTTGAAACCTCACTCATGAATAAGTTTTCCATCTCTGAAATTTGACTTTGATAAGATTACATGCCTGTTTGAAACTTTGGTTTTTACCATCTTTATAGGTTTGATCATGCAAAAGGAAATTGTTGTAAAGGACATGAATAGCACTTGTTTGTTTGAGATTTTGATTGAATTTTCTATGGTTGTAAAGGACATTAATAGCATTTGTTTGTTTGACATGTTGGTTGAATTTTCTATGGTTGTAAAGGGCATGAAAGCACTTGGTTGTTTGATATATTTGGTTGAATATTTAATGGTTGTAAAGGACATGAATAGCACTTGTTTGTTTGATATATTTGGTTGAATTTACCATGGTTGTAAAGGACATGAATAGCACTTATTTGTTTGACGTGTGTGGCTGAATTGTTGGTTTTTCCAAATAGAAACAATAATTGCAGATTTTTCTTATCAACATAAATATAGGCTATGCATGGGCTGAAGACAAGGAACATTGTGAAGAATATGGGCGAATGTTGAATGCAGACCCATCTAAAGTGTCAATGAAAGCAAAAAAACGAGGACTTCCTCAGGTAGACATATTAGACAAGAATTATATCAATCTATTATATGTACAAGGTAGTGTTAGAACATTTAACTCGTAAATTTATGTGTTTTCGATTTAGCATTCCAATTTGAGCATGCAATAGCTTATAACAAGAAAAAACTTAATTAAATCATTGAGCAGTTGTTATTGTCTGATGGTCTTTTCACTAATCGATTTCCTTAAACTAATCAAAATTACCAACAGAACCAGTAATGTTTTTTTTAAAGTATTGATCTGTAATTGTATCAAAATGAAACTTTCTTTTGTTCAAAATGCTTAGTGTTTTTCAGAAAGAAGCTTTAAAATAAGAACCTAACATTATGCTTGACAATCTACAACATTAAAAATTCACAGTTTGCATGTCTATGTACATAATACACACATTACTATGTATCTGTTAATAAAAACTAAATGCAACTTTTTCAAAAGAAACCCTAAACTTTTGATGTTCACCAGTGTAACACTTTCCCTAGTATAACGTCTGTGATGCGAGAGAACAGTGGACACTGAATACTATGGCTGCCTTAAAATATCCTTCTACCACAACTATGCTAGTGGATTGGTAATGATAACCCAGGCTCTGACACTTGATTGTAGCTGGTTATGATGGTGGTCATCCTAATACTAACCATTCAAACCCACATGATTTAATTGAGTCAGTAGTTAAAATGTTTCCATAGCAAATTCTTAACTTGTAGCCACATAATATGTAAAGAAATTCACTACAAACAAGTGTTTACTGTACTTAACTATGGTCTTCTGAGATTAAAATATGGTATTAAATATTTTGTATGACTGGTTAATTGTAGGAAATGTGATGTTCAATATTTAGGTGAAACTTCACAGTTTTTGAGAGGAAGAATGAATAGTCACAGATGGTTTATGATGAAAACACCCAAGTTTCCTCTATCATCACTAACTTTCCATGGCACAGTTTCAAAGGTTTTCACATACAACCCATATAATTCCTAAAGTGTGGGGATTTAATGATTTATGTGCTAAACTTTTGAAAGAAAAGACTACTGGATGATAATGATAGTTACAATTTACCTGTATGGTCTCAACAATCAAGTTAAAATGATCCATTTGTGTTGTGTCCCCAAATCAGTTGTCTTTGTCCTGTAGCTTTTACATAACCCAGAGGAGTGATGTCTGGTGACCATGTCAGTCAAGGTTGTTGCAGCCAATCCACTTACCAAGAAATTTTCTAACTAACAAGCTTGAATGGGATGATGCACCGTTGTATTTTGACATATTTGGTTACACGTGTTCCACTTTTAGTACATTATAAACTTGCAATATGTTAAGTTCATAACTATTACTGTCTTGTCATGGTTTAAGTTTGTAATGCATAATATAATTTTTGAACACCCTATATGTCGGTACATATAATTTTTGTTATTATTTATGGCTGGTTGGAAGTTCTGTAATTAGGTTACTAAAACTCACTGTAATTCACCAAATAGCAGGCATGGGAGAAAGGTCAATCTAATAAATATATATAAATGTATAATGTTATGAGATTTAAGCTACTTCGTCTAAACATTTATGTTTTCATATTATAATTTGTGTTCATTCTAGAATGAGAGGCACAATTTGTTTATTTCCTAATTTTTTATGGTGATTGCGAGATCGTTCAAATCTACCAAACCCATACAGAGATTAATTACTGAAAATAACAGATAAAATATAAAGTTTGATAACTATCCAGACATTATAAAACTTTTGCATGCAAAATTTCAAAATTTTCTGATGCTTAAAAATATTTTTAATCTTAAAATGAAAATTACTTTGCACGATAGATAGGCAAGATGTGAAAAGAAAAAAAAAGGCATAAGAAAAACATTGCTTTACAAACCTTACGACATGATAAAAAAAATTGATATTTTGCTTATGAAAGCATTGTAATGTTTACTGAATCTGCCTATTGTTGTTAACATTTGCTTACTAATTTAAAAGTTTGCATGAAAACTATAACAAGCACAAAATGGTTACGAGGTTGTCACATTGACCAACCCCGTATTGAAAGAGTTAAATGGTTAGTGTGTATTTCTATAAAGAAAATTATTATTTGATATTGTTAGAACTAATCTAGATCTTAAATTGCTAATATTCCTTTCAGAACAAAGTTTTATAATGCCAAGACAAATTTTTCATGAAACTGGATTAAAAAAACAAACTTAAACTTTTTTTAAACAGCTGGGAACATTAGGAGCAGGAAACCATTATGCTGAAATTCAAGTTGTAGACGATATTTATGAAAAAAGTAATGCCAGCAAAATGGGAATTGAGAATAAAGGTCAGATTTGTGTGATGATTCATTGTGGTAGCAGAGGATTTGGACACCAGGTGGCCACAGGTAGGTATTTGCAGTAGCATAAGGAATTCAAGTATCCTAAGATTTGAAATATTGATCACAAAGAAAAATACTGATGTATCGAAGTTTGTTTGTGAGAGATATATTTATCATACATTTTTATTTCTTGTTATATAAGCTGGTTTGAATTCTAAACTGAGTTTTTGCAAATCTTTGTATCAGTATTTAATATTTTAAATGTTATGTCTCCTATTATTCTTCTGTCCTGTAGTTTGTTTTTGTACAGTAATTGAACAGTTGTACCTTGAAATACACTATGTATTTTTCTACGTGTATTTCAACTATAGTGTTAGGACTCATAATGTCTGCAGGATTCCTACTTTAGTTTATATTCACTTAATGCCGATAGTTTGACAGATTTGTTAATTCATGATAAGTTAGTGAAATCATAGTTAGATTAACCCATGTGACATTTACATAAGTAATTATGACTAATACAGTTGAGTTTCGAGTTAAATAAATTATACCAATGAACCTTCATCAACAGATTTAAGAAAATAAATATTGGAACTGACCTACCACTTGGAAACAGGATAATTTATTTAACACAATTTATTTTATTACTAAAAGATGCCTTGTTAGCCATGGAAAAAGCCATGAAGCGAGACAAAATTGAAGTAAATGACCGACAGTTAGCATGTGCCCACATATCTTCCCAAGAAGGACAGGACTACCTCAAGTCAATGGCAGCTGCTGCAAACTTTGCGTGGGTTAATCGCAGTAGCATGACTTTCCTCTGTAGGCAGGTATGATTATAGTTCATCTGACGTGGTACTACTGCCATACTAAAGTTAGTGATGGTTCAACTATAATTCACACCTGTCTACAGAAGAAAGACGTGGTACTATTGTCATATTATAGATGTATAAAGATAGTAATGGTTCAACTATAATCATACCTGCCTACAGAAGAAAGACGTGGTACTATTGTCATATTATAGATGTATAAAGATAGTGACGGATCAACTATAATCATACCTGCCTACAGAAGAAAGACGTGGTACTATTGTCATATTATAGATGTATAAAGATAGTGACAACTGTCTACAGAAGAAAGTCTACAGATGAAAGACATGGTACTATTGTCATATCATAGATGTATAAATATAGTGATGGTTCAACTATAATTCACAACTGTCTACAGAAGAAAGATGTGGTACTATTGCCATACTATAGATGTATAAAGATAGTGATGGTTCAACTATAATTCACACTTGTCTACAGAAGAAAGATGTGGTACTATTGTGATATTATAGATGTGTAAAGATAGTAATGGTTCAACTATAATTCACAAAATGTGAATTATAGTTGAACCATTATTATCTTTACACATCTATAATATCACAATAGTACCACATCTTCCTTCTGTAGACAAGTGTGAATTATAGTTGAACCATCACTATTTGTATACATTTATAGTATGGCAATAGTACCACATCTTTCTTCTGTAGACAGGTGTGAATTATAGTTGAACCATTACTATCTTTACACATCTATAATATGACAATAGTACCATGTCTTTCTTCTGTAGACAGGTGTAAATTATAGTTGAACCATCACTATCTTTATACATCTATAATATGGCAATAGTACCACATCTTTCATCTGTAAACAAATGTGAATTATAGTTGAACCATCACTATCTTTACACATCTATAATATGACAATAGTACCACGTCTTTCTTCTCTGAAAATCTGTTTTAAACACATATTAAAATATCATTGGTTTAATCAACTTAGAATGATGTTGGATGTGTCAAGAAGTTATTTTCCTGTTAAAATGCACAGATTTCATAACTCCAGTCATGTCTAACTATGCACCAATCAGTAGGGGTGGCTGCTAGTGGTGCTGATAGGATTTACAGTTTATGTACACATTCTTTATACCTACATTCATGATACATATTTATATTGAGTGAGAAGTTTTTTAAAATACGTTTTATTTTGACAAGAACACATTTTTGTAATCATAATTGTTAAAAATTTCTTTTCCAAGTCATATATTTGCTATAATAATTATTAGATACAATAGAAAATACATACAAGATAAAAAAAATGTAAATATATATATATATAATCATGTAGTAATAAGAACAACAA